TGGTTTATGGGCTGAAGAGTTAATTCATGTCCTATGGGCCATCCGGACAACAGAAAAAGGGGCAACCGGTGAAACCCCATTTTTCATGGTTTACGGTGCTGAAGCCATCTTCCCATCGAGTATTATGAGCTGACTCTACAAGTCATGCTATACGATGAAGAGGCAAACTGGGAGGCCATGCAGCTAGCATTGGACTCACTCCCGAAGTGCAGGGGCAATGCTGCCTTGCGTCATGAGATTTACCGTCTAACAATGACTCGTGCCTACAATAAAAGAGTGCACAAACGACCCTTAAAAGTTGGGGACTTTGTGTTACGAAAGATGAAGGCAACCGGTAGGGCCAATGAGCAAGGAAAGCTAACTCCCAATTAGGAAGACCCCTACCAAATCTACAAAGAAGTAAGAAACAGCACCTACCGGCTAGAAACTCCATACGGTAGGCGGATGCCTAAGACTTGGAATGTAGATAACTTGAATAAGTAATACTTCTAAGGCTTGTAAATTGTTGTAAATAAAAAGTCAATCAATGAAAAAGTTGTTTTTTGTTTTCAAATTGATTTAATTACTTACTTTTCATATATGTATACATTCGGAATGGTGGACCATCATCTGTGTAATGCACAGACGACCCCTACAATGAATAAAATTAAGCTAAGTTAACAACTTATCGGCTAAAATGATATTTAATTTAAGAGGCCGAAGGCCGAATGCAAGCTAAGTTAATAATTTAGTGGCTAAAATGATATTTAAATCAAGGCCAATGGTCGGATGCAAACTTATTATATAAATTCGTCTGCTCTTATTTGAGTATGGCGTCCGGCGACGCCCCTCCGGGTGTTATCGTCGCAGAGGGCATTCTATCGTTTGCTCTACCAGCATATACAAGCGGCAAATATTAAACGACCTAATTGGTTAACTCATATTTTTCTGACAAAAATAGTCTAAAAGAATGATTAAGCTTAAAACCGGATGTCAAGCGACATCAGCCGGTCAATTACTGAAGTTCTCTATTAAACTATTCCACGAAGTTGTACTAGTCACCACAATGGGGCAGATAAGCTAGATGCAATGGATTGCGGGCATCACAGATGGCCTTTAAGCCGTCTGAGGATCACCAAGCAAGTGAACAATATGTTCCCCATTTCATTAACTACCAGGCGGCAAGTTCCCGTCTAACTCATAAAGAAGTTCAATGCAAATACCCGATTGGGTAAACGACTGTTTTTTATGGTTGTGTACTTGGTTTAGGGCAATCACTACTGTGATTGATTGACTTAGGAACATTCCATACTCTTTAAAGTATCAAACATTCCAAAGTCAATCAATCAAAGAAGTACTGAAACCAACCACACAGCCGCCAGGGGCAAGAGTAGCCAGTATACTATATAAATTGCTGCATGCTTTTAAAAGTTAGGCAAAATTTCAAAAATAAATAAAAATTGCAGAATATATATGCAAAAATTGAAACAAAATAACAAATTCATCAAGAAAACTTAGTCGACAAATTTCATTTAAAACCGGTTAGAACCGGATAATATTGTTAACCAAATATACATCCGCAAGAAAAGAAAGTAAAATTGTTACCCGACTCCTTAGTCGGTAAAAACACACAAATACTCGGTACGCAAGCCGGAAAAATCTAAAGATTGGTATACTGCCGCTGAGAAATCAAGGATGAGGTTGGGCCGCCTGGTCCTCCTTATGCTGGACCACCTGGTTCTAAGCCACCTGGTTCTCCTCTTTGGGATTCTCCCCATCTGATTGAAGCGCAATGGCTTCTTCTTCTTCGGGGAGCTCCTTGGCAGGCTCCTCAAGCTCGTTGTTTACGCAGTGGTCGAAGGACTTGGGATCCGGCTCTCCTTTCTCTCTTAAGTACACTACACGTTCAGCATACTGAAAATCTAGAGCCCTAGTCCGTGTTGGAGTAGAGAGCATTCCAAGCAATCTTCATTCGGGTGTCGGAGTCCTCTTCATTTTCAGCAATGAAGCAGTCTTGCTCCGCCTCGATTGTTGCCCTGAGATTCATTTGGTCTTGCTCCGCATCCTTCTTCAGGTCTTGAGGTCTTACCTCCGCATCCTTCTTCAGGTCTTACCTCCGCCTTGAGATTTACATTCTCCTGAGAGGCAACCTGCAAGGTCTTAAGGTCTTCCTCCGCCTTCTTGAGGTTGGTTTAAGCCGTGTTGGCCTTCTCCTTGGCCTCATCCAGGGCTTTTTTAAGACCCCTAATCTGATTCGCCTGTAGCATCAATTCGGCTTTAGTTTCAAGTTCATTAAGGGTACATTGATATTCAGCAACATCTTGAGAATCCCTAGCTGATCTAAGGGCTCTTTTTGCCTCCTCCCTCTTCCGGGCATATGGCCGTTTGAGTCAATCAACCCTGAGCATGGCCTGTAGACACAAACGGTGTCAATCATGCGGGATATATTATACTTAGTTCCAGAAAAGAAGAATTAGGTATACCTCAGACAGGAGTGCATTGATCCGTTCAACATTGAACATCTCAATGTCTGGGATGGCATCCTTCTCCTTCTTGGGGACGGCCGCCAGCATGGACCGGGCATGCGCCTGGACGTCCGACCATCGGGGGGATTAATCTGCACCATATGTGAAAGGGGGTGTGTGAGCTTTATAGGCAGCACCAGCTTGATGCCGGATGTCGGATGAGGAAGTTTGTTGAGAGTGAGATTTCACTCGCAACGGCCATCTTAGCTTAGGCTGAGATTCGAAGGGATTGTATTTACCTTCAAAAGCTTGTGGTACTACAATACCCAGAGGTGCAGAGAAGTTGAATGGGACCATGTCGAACCCCACTCCGAAGCCTCCAACGGTAACATTCTTCCCCCCGATGCGGAGGCGGATCTTCCCAGAAGACCCTTCGAGGGTCGTCTTACCTAAAGCTTCTTTTGTAGACTTTGCAGGCTTGATTAAGTAAAGGCGGTCTCATCCTATCCCCGTTTAAATAGGTTCTTCATAAAGGACCTAGGAGCTTCTCCACCCTACAATTTAAGAAGTATTAAATAAGCAACCGGCAATGCTTGTTAGAAAATTTGATCAACGACTCATCCCGTCCCCGTTTAAATAGGTTCTTCGTAAAGGACCTAAGAGCTTCTCCACCCTGCAATTTAAGAAGTATTAAATGAGCAACCGGCAATGCTTGTTGGAAAATTTAATCAAGGAGACAGTTACTAACCTCCGCCTTCAGTTTGGCGGCTCTAGCCTGCGCCAGGTCTCTCCAAATTTGTGCATAGGACCGCTTGGGAGTCTTCTCTTCAGCTACCATGTTCAAAGCTTCTTCAGCAAAAATAATGAAAAGACGCATGCTTTGGAAACATTGTGCTAAGCCCACAGGCGGTTAAGAACGCCTCATCTCTAAACCATGCACACATGGGAATCCTATTATTAGGGACCTTTATTACATCCCTAGTTGAGTGAGTCTCTGGATGGAGCTCAAAAAACTTGGTTTCCATGATAGCGTCATAGTCATCCCCCAATATCCGAGGAAGGGCACATTTGCGACCCAGTAGAACAGGCTTTTATTATACCGGCGCAGCTTCCGGTTCTCTCGATGGGTTGGGGGCAGACATCAATTAGAAACGGGTCTTTCAACCGTCATATTTGGACACATTGTCCAATGTCATTTGATACTGAGGGAGGGTGGTCAAGGTGTACCACGCCCTCCAGCCGCCTAGGTTGCGACTAAGATAATGCATATGTGCAAAAGCCTCCCAGCTAGGGTTCGGGTTTTACATTTCACAAGCGACAACATATCCTAGAATGTTAGCCCATGAATTCGGGATGAGCTGCCAGCCAGGCCATAACCCCTAAATATGGCCCTCACAGCATGGTGAAGCGGGAACTAGAGGCCTGCCAGGAATGCCGCCTCACAGCATCCAAAGTAGGCGTTTGCATTCTCCTGGTCATTTTTCCAAGAGATGGTGCCTAGCTCAGGCGACACTCGAATAGTATATCCATTTTCCAGGGGCCACTTCGTTACAAAGCTTTCAATTCCCTTTAGCATTATCCGCCTGTCTTTAGCGGAGATGTGGATGTTAAAGGGATCATCCTTTGCTTCCCATTTTTTCCACTCTTCAACTTCACTATCCTCAAGCGGGAAAAGAGGGGCATCACTATTATCCTTAGAGCTAGACCCTGAGGCGGAGATTTCATCGTCTCCCTCTTCGCCGGTTGACCCCGATGTAGACTCTTCCCCGTCTCTGTCTACGGGGCCAACTTCATCAAGGTCCATCTGGGAGATGGTTCACTCACCGTCTCTACTCTCATCATATAATATTGTCACTTGGGGTTCTAGGAATCCCAGACGGGGAATATTCCCCTGAGCCTTCATTGCTCTCTGACCCCTCAACCGGGGTTATCTCGTTAGACGGCGCTTTCAAAGTATCGTCTCTTTGACGCCGTTTGGTGGCTGTCTGTTTAGTTCTAGCCATCGTGTCCTGCACAGACACATGGGTCGGTTGAGGAGTACAAAATTTCTCCATGCACCCAGAGCCTGCACTCCTAGTCCTAGACTCAGCCGTCCCAGGTGACCAGCTGACTACTGACCTAGGTCGTGCTGTGTGTGTAGGTGATGAGTCCATTTATTGAATGAATTGAAACAAATGTAAATGAGTTGAAGGGGGTAGAGGCGGTACCTTACGTTTGTCTCTGAAAGGGGGGCAAACGGTGATGACCGACTGAGATTGCTGCTGAAGTTGACCTTGCTTGCTTGGGGTACAGACGGTTGAGAACCAGCTGAGGTAGGCGAAAAATTAGCAGAGTTTGTGTCCACACACATACGAAAGGCAGACTATCTCTCTCTAAAACTTTACAATTTCTCTCTCTAGAATATTTTGGAAACGTCCAAAATGAGAGGGGTAAAATGCGAATTTATAGAGGGGTAAAAGCGAGGGCAATTTTGTAATTTTTCCCGAAATGTGAAAAGTTAAATTTTCACAGTAAAAAAACCTTTATTACTATCTCCTATGACTGAGTGACATGTGTCACTACTATAAAACTTGGAAAAAATACACCTAATTAAAGACCCATTATTTAACCAACGGGTATATAAGATGTAAAAGATCTAATTTTAATTATAACGAGTCTTTTATGTGTATGAGAAAAAAATAAAATAAAAATATGAGACCAGTTATCAAAGCTAACGAGTGTCTTATTTTATTGTGTCCCACTTTCTGATGAGAAAAGAAAAATAAGGGGTGTGTTTCTAATTTGACGGGTCTCTTAACTTTACTTCTTATTTATCATCATACTACGTATTTCCTACAAATCAATTCACCTACTTTCTCTCTCTCTTCAAAGCCTTCTTCCAAGCCCAAATTAAAACCCTCATTTTCTCTTTGTGAACACGCCGGCAGCCGTCACTGACTCACTTCTTCATCTCTTCTCCATTAAATCAAAACACTGTCCCTTCATGCCTTCTCGCAACGTTTACTCTAAGAATGGTAACAGGGGGATCTTTCTTTTCTCTTAATATGCTTGCTCTTTATCCACTTATTTTTTATAAAGTTCGAGTAAGTAGCTAAGGTCCGATTAGAGTTCAATAATAAATCTGGAAATTATGAAGAATTAATGTCTAATTGATGATCTAATTTCAGATCGAAATTGAAGTAAACGATCCATCCATTGAATTTTCGGTTTACATTTTCTCGATACTTATAATGCGATTGTTATTAAATTTTTGAATTGTATTTTACTTCCAGCTTCATTCTGGCTTTAGTCCTATTTCTAGATCTCACTTTCGGTTTCGTAGTGTTGTTTTTTTTTTTTTTTGTTAGTCTTATTATTATGCTCAAGTGGGTTTCTATGTTGTTTGTTAGTTTGTTTGGCTGTAGTATACGAGTATTGTTTTCTTAATGAAGGAATGTTGCATATTTAATTAGCTTTTTATTTTATCTTATTTTTTTGTATCACCAATTTGAGTGTTAGAATTTTTATACTGTATCAATTTCATTAACTGTAATTTTTCTTATGTTTTTGTTTTGGCAGATTTGTATGACTTGGTCCCACTAAATCCTCAAACAACGGAGATAGAAAAAGGAGTATTCAAGTCTTTTTTTTTTGGGGTGTCATTATAATTGTAATTAAAATTTTGGTGTAATTTTGTTGGACATTTTTTTTTGTATTACATTAATTTTAATTTAATCCATTGCTATTTTTCGTGGTCGAATTATCCGCCAATTTTTATATAGCATATAAACAGAGTAAAATTTCAAAATTCAAATGAAAACAATGAAAACCTTTCAAACCGTACCAAAATTAAAAAGCAATTAAAAAAAAAAAAAACTAAGAGAACAAAGAGACCCGTTGTTTGACATGATAGGTCTGTTTGGTACCACTAAATAGACCCCCTATCTGAAATAACGGGTCCCTTTTTCTTCTAAATTATTAAATTCATAACCTACATAACAGACCCCCTATAACCTACACCAGGTTTCTTTGTCTTTATAAAAGACCCCCTCATGAACGGGTCTCTTTATCAAACAGACCCGTTGTGAGACGGTCTGTCAGGCATATTTCAACGGGTCTCTTTGCCAATTTTTGTAGTAGTGTGTCACAGATGCCACGTGGCGCGCCACGGTCAATCATATCCTAACACATGACATACTTTGGTTGGTCAGAATTAGACCAATCTCCAATTGACACGTGTTCTTCCTAGAACTTTGAAGAAAAAGGCGGCCCTAAAGGGCACAAATCCCAAGAAAGTTGTAATTCGGCGCAGCCCAGTAGAATTAGGTCATAGTGACCTTATCAGGGGGCACGTTTTCCAATGACCCTATAAATAGGGAGATTCCCCCCATTTTTGGGACATCTATAATTTATTACATCATACCCTACATTCCCCTACATCAGAGAAACATCTGATCTCGGAATCCGAGAAGATCTTATTTCATTTTCCGCACCTTCTCCTACTCTTATTCAAGTACTAATTTGATCGTCGGAGGCGAAGCTCCAAACAACCAGAGTCTCGTTGTTTTGTAGGTACAGGCCGCGCGCAATCAATCTATGAGCTGTAACTCTCCCGAGGGACAAAAATACCTAAAACATGAACGGTTTACAAGTTCCTAAAACTTGTTAGTGACTCTTTTACTCTAGCTTTCTTCCATTTAAACGCCACCATGCTTAAGTGTATGATCACAGTGTGGCTCAACTGTAAAATGCTTGAAATATTTCTTACACAAATCATCAGCAAAAGAATCTTAATACAATAATAGACCAAAATAAATTAGTAACACTAAGGAGCCATATGCCAAAAAGCATAGAGAATACATTCCCTAAAAAATATTTTCTACCTAATCAAACCAAAATCACAACCAACTTTCAAAATCAATTACAGAGTACAAAAGCTTACCAAAAAAAAAATAAAGGCATCAATACTCAAAAGACAAAGACATCATTTGCTAGTATTTAATATGACTCTATAGGTTAAAAATATGACATATAGACTGGACCATGATCAACACAGTTGTCATGCAAGCTCAAGCATATACAATACTCTATGTTAAAATGTCTCACAAACAGCACTAACCACTAGCGGAGCCAAAATATTCAGGTCAAATACATTTTTGTGAGAAAAACTTTGCTATAGAAATGAGATGGTGTAGTGGTAATTCCTTTAAACTTTGCTATGTGATGTCCATTCGTCTCCCCGATTTGATATTTCTGGCTCTGCCACTGTCACTAACACTACAATCTACGGGTATCATGGCCCTAATTTCAATTAAATTATTGACAAATAAGCCATGTACATACAAAAAAATATGTTTAAGGTTATGAATTTGGCACCATCCTTCAAAGAAAAATTTATGACATCTCAGTTTAAGGAGAGCAACAAGACTCCAAAACCCACGTAATTTTGTATTTCAAGAAGAACTGAAGTCCTAAGGAACAAATAGTCCAACATCAGCATGTAAAAACAAAATTATAGAACTTCTTAGCCTAAAAGCACAAATCTGATGAGAAGGATGTTTGAAATGGAATGAAGCTTACTTGATAGTGTTGGTGACGACATCAGATCAAATGGGACAGAACTAGCAACCACATACAAAAAATGAGGAGGAAGTATAAATGTAGTGTTGTGTGACAAAATAAATTGTCTCGTAACATAAAAAATTATAACAAATGTACTAGAAAGAGTGAAAAAGGAAGAGAGAGATATAGAGAGTGAAAAAAGGGGTGGAAGGGAGCCCACCTTTTTATCAAAAAGGTTTCACGTGCAAAAAAAAACAAAAAACAATTGGGACCACAACTATTGAGATCATATTTTGTACCATTGAACATTTTTGTAGGTACCACTGAAATTGTATTGTGTATCACTGAGAATGTATTTTGTACCAGTGAATCTCTAATGGTATTATTTAACAGTCTAATGAGACATTTGAACCATTTTTGATACACCATTGAAATTTTATTTTGTACCACTGAGAATGTATTTTGTACCACTGAATCTACAAAGGCAAATTTAAATCCCACATAAAATGACCAACATGCCCATGTGAGACACTTCTATATGTCTCTCATCCCTCCGTTTGGAATGCCTCCCATCAAAATTTTCAACTTCAGGACACCCTGCCATGTCAACTGATGCATGTGTTATTTTCGTGATATGTAAAATTAATACGGAATACGTGAGTAGTTAAGTTTGACGTACCACTTTCAAGGCATATTTGGAGCTTGTCTAGGGATTTCCTTGGAGCACAACTTTAAAGCTAGGTTCAACAATAGGTAAAAAAAATATATAACATAGGTTCTAAACGCCATTTGGAGTAGAGATGTTATTGGCTTCAACCATCAAGAATTGAGTTGAAATGGAATGTAAATAAGAAGCCACCCATTCGTGATTACATGCAAGAAAAATAGTATCAAAAGTTATTTAGTTATTTCATGAGCACATACATACAGCAAACATAATATGATAATGAATTAAAATATAATCATAGAAAACCCGATAGTGACTTTGGCCAGCAGCTAAACTACCATCCATAGCTCAATTAAATGTAAACTAAATACCCAAAAAAATTACAAAGTGGTACACCTTTTCCAAAATAGGCATTATGTTGTTCCTTTATTTGTGGACTGAATTCAGATGAAGAACTATCTCTCTGTAGTCTCGACTGTCGTTTTGAACAAATAGAACAAAAAAAAGGGAAATCTGAAGAACCAAAAGACAAAGATGGTATAAATTTGAGATTAATTAGATGAAACCTTAGTGTCCTCGTCCAATGGAATGTAAGCCATTTCTTTGCAAAGGTCAAACAAATAGTACTTCACACTCTAGCTGAATATATTTTGCAAGACACCCACATAAACTGCTGCTAGAAGAGGAGTTAACCCAAGTGGAGCACCAAACAAAATCAAGAGAAGAAATTAACTCCTGTAATCAGAAGAACAAATGAGAACAAACATAACGCATGTAAAGATTTTGTTTTGTTTTATTTGAGCTAGATGTCAGCAGCTTGTAATGTAAAGAGTATAATTTTTCAACCAAATAATTTCTCTCTTGTTTATATACTATTGAAACATGAAAATGACTACGTCGTACAAAATTATAGCTGATAGAGTGATAGGGTGGGAAGAAATTAACCTTTAACCCAATGAATTACATAAAGTTTTTTTTTTTTTTTTTCTCAACTTTGAAGCATAAAGAGTTATCAAGAGCTTGTTTACTTAAAGCTAAGTTATAATTAATTTAATAAAATTAGCTCTTTTGACAAAAGGTTAGTAAAATTTTGCTAATATTAATTGCACAACAATAAAATGCTAGATACAAAATAATGAAAAAAAGAAAGACTCAGAACAAAATAGTAAACAACAACCAGGTTCTCATAGCAAATACCAAACTTTTCACACAAAACAATAGTTATTATCACCTAATTCACAAATGTGCCGAGATATACATTTATCCTTCTCAATTATCCATTCAATTACAATACATAACCTAATTAGTCACAACATAGACTTACATTCATGATATTCCATATATACAAGCACTCTAAGACAAGGCCCACGCCAAAATTGTTTCAACATACAGCTTAAGCAAAAATATCTTCCAATTCAGTTTAAGAGTGTAAATTTTAATTTTAATCAAAGTTCAAATTTTGCTTACTTGTAATTTTAGAGTATAATTTCTAAAATGAAATGATTTCTCTCCAATTTATAAAATATTAAAACGTGGACCAAACCACAAACAAAACTATAGCTAACAGAGGAATAGGAAGAAATTAACCTTAGACCATGAATTCTCAGCAAAAAAGTAATTTAGAAAAAAAAATTAGGAAAATTTGTCAAAAATAAGCTAACCTTTATTCGGTTAGCTCAAAATAAGTCAACCTTTTGATTAACTAAAATAAGTCGACTTTTATAGGGTATTATCATTTAATGAGTCATGACCGGTTAACAACCTGCTAAACAAGTTAATATGACACATGTTGCAATTTTATTGGTCTAACATATAAAATTTTAATTTTTTAAACTTAGTTTTTTACTTCTTTTTCAAACAAAAAAAAATCACTTCTCTCTCCTACTTCCACCGCACCCTTATCTCTCTTCCCCCCAGCCACCCTTTTCGATATCCTCCCTAAAGCCTCCATTAACGAAGGAGGCATCGCTTTACCAATTACTTCGGTACATTACAACCCAACTTATTGTTGGTCAGCTCACCGGTGATGACTCGATGGAAGTGGCGGTGAGCAGCGATGCTCGTGCCTGAGACCTGGGAGAAGAACTCTTTCATACTTCACTACTAATATTAAAAAGCTTCTGCAATGCAGTGTTAACCAAATAATTTCAATCAATTTTCATAATTTAGGCTCGAAACATCACTTACACATTTGATTCAATTATCAGATTAAGCAAAGATCCCTAATTTGAGTGAACTGATAATTTAATTAACGATAAACCTTAGATTGTGAGATTGATATTAGATGATTATTAAAAAAAAATTACTGAAATTACCTCACTTAGAACTTAGAAGCTTCTTCAATGGAGAATAAAAATTATCAGAAAGTGGCTCCTCAATATAAAACAAGAAGTGCGCTTCAATGAAGAATATTGATTTCAGGTGAGGTAAGGCGACGGCCGGGGTGATGCGGTGGTCTCCATGTATCTCCATGTTTTAATGGTAGACAACTGCTGCGTTCATGGGTGACAAATGGTAGTTGGGTGGCTAAGTGGCTTTGGCTTGGTGGTGGACTGGTGGCTGGCAGTGGCAGTCTGGCAGGTGATGTATATCATAGCATATTCCGGTTTTCCCAAATAAGTACTTATTCAACTATTAATTTGATTCTCGTGGCCCTTAATTAAAAAATTCATGTGTACCTGGAGATTTCCTTTGTTGATCGCCATTGTTACTTGGATGGGCTAATTTTGATGCCTCACATTGCAGAATCTGCAAGATTCATGACAGTTATTCAGTGATTTCATCAAGATCTATAACCTAGGGTTTTGAAACGAGTAAAATTGGGTAATTGTTCAAGGAGTTCTGTTTTCGATAAGTGCAATTACTAGATATATCAAGGATAGCTATTATTGAGATAATAGTTCGTTCTTTTGGATCGTCATTATCTGTTACTCCCTCCTTTCCCGAAAAAATGACCCATTTGGATTGATTTCGCGGGTATTATGAAAGTTAAATAAAAATAAGTAAAAGTATATTAGAAAGATTAATTTACATGAAGTTTGTAAAAAAGTAGAGAGAGAAATTAATAAAAGTACATAGGGAAACAAAATTTTATATAGGGAAGCTAATTTTGCACAAATATTATTGCAAATTGGTGGTGATTTTATTGCAAATAGGTCATTTTTTTTGGGACTAAAATTAGGCCTAATGGGTCATTCTTTCGGGGACGGAGGTAGTACTAAACTATGATTAATAATCTTTGGGCTAATCAAATAGTCCAAAGCCCAAAAGAATGGATTTTATGAGATCACACACAAAGGTATTGGCTTAAGCAAATTAAATGCCTATTTATGGGCCTCATGAACAAGTAACTAATCATGAATTGGATTGGGCTAGCATAGTTAGATTAGAGTTAGGTTTTGGGCTTTGTCATGGACTCTTATTTAGAGATGAGATCTATAAATAAGGTCAATGCCTAGGGTTGTATGAGACAACACAATTAACAGTTAATTGTGCATCAAGCACTCATAAATCCCCAAAACCCTCACACACACTCTCTCTCTCTCTATCCCACGGCTCTCTCTCCTCCCCTCTTGGACTCACGGCCGGCCACCCCTAGTGGCGCGTGTGGTGGTTCATGATTTGTTCGTTGGTTGTTCTTCTCCTTAAAAGGTCAATTGAAGGGTTCAATTGCAACTAACTACCATTAGTGGAGTTCTAAATCCGTGCATGTGGACCACGTAGAGGAATCACGTTTGTGGTTTTTTGTCTCTCTTGTTCTTGTTCGATCACACGTTGAATCATGCTTCAAAGGTATTAATACTAATTCTTTATGTGTTATGCATGATCTTGGGATTAGGTGCTATATGAATATGATTCATGTTTTCGGCATTCGTACCTATAAACTCCTACAGTGGTATCAATTAGCCTATGCATGTACATATATTGTATATTAATTCTTTGATAGTCCACAATTTTAATTCAATTAGGAGGGAGAATAATTTAACTATGGGTCAAATATTATTTTAAATGTGATTTAACAATATAGAGTCGTTAAAAGTTGTTTAATTTGCTCCAAATAAGCCATAAAGAGATCCGATTTTTGCCCCTAATCACTCGCAAAAATTCAAACCCCCCAACCCTAAATTCAAAATTTTCGAAACCCTAAACCCCAATTTGAGAAATTTGTGTTTTGGTTTTGATTTAATTCAATAGTTATGTGTTTAAAGAATTTAATCTATTTGATTTCATGATAAATTATGAATTTTTCGTGATCAAATTATTTAATTTAAGAGTTAAATTAAATTGGGGATTAATTTCATGGAGAACCCTAATTTCAAGATTAAATATGATTTAATTTTAAAATTAATTAGACCACATTAAGATTAATTTAAATTAAAAAAAGGTTTTAAACAGCGGCTGGGTGGCGCAGCCACGACGGCTGCCGTTGCAGGTGGTCCGAATGGAGGTCTGGGCGGGGCAGCACTCGGGTCAGGGAGGTGTAGCAACATCAACACCGTGCAAGAGTTGTGCGGCACTGCTGCAGCTGCTGTGCACCGCTGCTAAGCAGCGTACACCTCATAGTGTACGACCACCGTGGCCGGCTTTGGCTTGCCACACCATGGTGGCTGGTGCAGGGTTTTAAAAAAAATTATTTTATGTTAATAAAATCAGTTTTAAAAAATTAAATATAAAATATAAGTTTTTATTTTGAAAAGATAATTAACAAAGTTAAAGTGGTTAATTTTGTTAAGTTTGGATAATTATGGAGCAAAAGATTCTATTTGGATAATAATTGATTTAACGAAATTATCACATAATTATTTTGGATAATAATTGATTTAAATTATGTGATTGGCTAGGCAATTAGGATAGAATCTCCTAAATTAGTTAGGATAATCATGGAAAATAAATATGATCTATCTTCCATAATTAAAATATGATTTAATTCTATCTCTTACCTAAAATAAAATACATGATATTTTATGGTTGGTTAGAAATAATATATGATATTATCTAATTGCAGTAATTAATTAAAATATGAGATATTTTTGGAGTCATGTTTCCTTAGTTGTGAACATTTGATGTTGTAGTTTAGGAAAGCATGATGAGTGATTTATTATGTGGCACTTTGTAATATATGATATAATTTATTGCTATATATAGACTAGTATGGCCCAGAGTTTTTAAATACGATCTGTACATCATTTCGTATTTTTGTAATCTAAATACGGTATGCGTACCATTAAGTATTTTGTAATTTATTTTATTTTATTTAAGTAGTAGATAGAATAGAATAACATTACAAGTTGCAGTTGATCCAAGAAGCCAATGGAGTGGAGGCCCAAAGAAATAAGATGGATGAGATCCATGAAGATTCATGTGGGAGCATTTTTCTGCTTTATTAGTTTTCTTAGGATTAAGGGGCCATACTATGTCCTGTTTTTATTTATGAATTAGTAGATTATGCACGTTAGATTTATTTTATGTTGTTTAATGATGCGTTAGAGTTCACTAAATAATCACAACATAAATGAATCTAGGTCCCATTAATATTAAGGTTGCTTTTCCAATTAGATAATGTAGAGAATATTTCAAGAATTACCCCTAGCTTGAACCCCACTGTGATCATACAATAAAGTACGGTGGCGTCCAAAGGGAAAGAAGATAGAGCAAAAGAGTCGCCAACAAGTTTTAGGAACTTGTAAACCGTTCGCAGGGTGAAGGTTACACCCCTTAACAATCCTGGAGATCGTCAACTCCAATAGGTCTGGAACCATGACTGGTAGTTCGGGGATGAAGTTACAAATCCAACCTAAAAGAGATTGAACCTGCCCTAATAATAGACCTCTACTTTATTCTGCTCGTATTCATGTGCGCTTTCTGACTAACATGCAATCAATAGGATTAACCCTAAACTTTTTTATCTATGTTGGTTGAATATTAATGCACAAATAAATCAATTATTGGCGATCACTTGAATTATAATCATATTAACCCTAAACAAGATTATTAATTATTTCATTAAGCGTGATTACAAGTACCAATTCCCTTTAAACATGCATAAAAGGTGTGATCAAGCAATAACAATATATATATCAAGCAACATAAATAATAATCATCAAAATAATAATTATAATCATCATAATAATAATCATGTTAATAATAAAGCATAATAATAATAGCAAGATCTTAGGCATGATACTAACAAGATTAATAACAAACCCTAGCATGTCACTAAGCAATAAAAATCAAAGCTTTAACCCTAACATGATACTAACATGAATATTAGGAAGAAAATAGGAAGCATCATACTTTTAATCATACTAGATATTAGAGTTACCCTAAACATGATACTAGGAAGATCAAAACGCCCTAAAATGATACTAGGAATCATAATAACAATCTAGACACGATATCTATATCATAATAACAATGTAAACAATTAAAGCACTTACTTGGATGCCTCGTACCTCTTTCTAATAACAAAATACACGCGTTAGTAACTGTAGTCACCCATTTGTGTCTCCCCAAAACCAAACCCAGTGATGAGTACCTTTCACGTCGAATCATAATCGAATGAAACGAAAGTGTGGAAAGCTCTAGTGTTGCAGATAGTTTTTATTTCTTTTCTCTTCTCTCTGTTTTTGAAAACTTATTTTGAGAAAATAGCCAATCTATTTTGGTTGGTCCATGATATGGGTCCAATAGTAGTGTAGTTGGATGGGGATTTCAAAGACCTTTCCAACGATATATTATAAGCTCAATTTCGATGAATATTGAGGAAGTTATGGCCAATTTACCAAACTGGGCCCTGTTTGAGCTTTATGTGCAACCCAATGATCTAGGGGAGGGCCTAATATGATTTATCATTCCTAATGCAATTAGGAATGGTTTTAGTCTTCTAGATTCTTCTAGAAGGTTCTTTTCATTCCTAATTCAATTAGCATTGATAAATTGACTTTTGTTGACTTTTCAGAGTTTTAATCAAAATCAAATAGCATTTTTGAGGAAATTATATTATTTTATCCTCCCGTACGGTAAACTTATCGGATTTTTGAAAACGCGTTGGTATCAGGCTTGGCGCTTAACCCCAGGCTTTGGCGCCTGGAACCAGGCCTGGCGCCTGGCGCTAGCCATTGGCGCCTGACGCTAGTGGTGGTGCCTGGCGCCAGCTAGCCAGGGTTGGCGCCAGCCCTGTTTCCTGAGCGTCAGACTCTGTTTTGTTAATTTATCTTTTTGGCTGATTTTTTCTATAAATAACGTATTTAAAAACTCCGTTTAGATTCACCAATTATCATCATCTACATCTATCATTCACCAATTCTCACGAACTCTCATCAAGATATTTTTGATTATTCTCTCTCTCTCTCTCTCTCTCTCTCTCTCTTTCCTTAATTCAAACTTTGTTTTCACATACAAAATTCCACATTCGCAAGATCTAGAAACACCTAGCCATATTCGAAGTTGCCTTCGTCCTAGACGTGAAATGTTTAATTTCTGAGGGTTTGGTCCCAAATATCTCTTTCAATTATTTAATTTAATTGTTTGATTATTATTTTCCTTGAAGTTACTAACGTGTGTATTTTGTTATTAGAAAGAGGTACGAAGCATCAAAGTAAGTACTTTAATTTAATTGATTAATTGTTATTATGATGTAGAAATCATGTTTAGATTGTTATTATGATATTCCTAGTATCATGTCTAGGTTAATTTTAATATTAAATATGATTGCTATGATGCCTTTTATTCTCTTCCTAATATTTATGATTGTTAGTATCATGTTAGGGTTAAAGATTTGATTTTTATTGCTTAGTGACATGCTAGGGTTTGTTATTAATCTTATTAGTATCA